TTTTTTTTTTTTTTGCCTTTTATTGTTCTTTGCAACTTATTTTAATTTATTTATTGGTATTGTTGTTAATGTTATTCCCATTATTATTATTACTGTTATCATTACCACTACTATTATTATTACTACTACTCTTATTACTACTCTTACTATCACTACTATAACTACTATTACAGCTACTAATCTTACTACTACTCCTACTATCACTGTTATTATTACTATTATCATCATTAATACTTTTACTGTTATTATTACCATCATTAATATTATCATAATCATTATTATTATTATTATTATATTGTTATTGTTATTGTTATTGTTATTGTTATTGTTACTATTGTTATTGTTGTTGTTATTGTTATTGTTGTTGTTATTATTATTGTTATTGTTATTAGATTCTTAGTATTACGATTATTATTATTATTACTATTATTAGCTGATTCCGAAAAATCTCAAAATTAATTTATTATTATTGTCTTATATTATTATTATTATTATTATTATTATTATTATTAGTATTAATATTAGTGTTAGTATTAGCATTAATATTAGTATTAGTAAGAGTAGTAGTAGTGTTAATTTTTTGCTGATTCACCAGCGATCCATTTCTGGGAATCCATTTTTGATAATGTTTCGTGGAGTGTCAGGAAACTAACATCTTCAACAGCTACGGTATTTCAACTACTTAGTGAGCATACTAAAATTAGAGTAGTCGTTGTGTTTTTTTAGAAAAAAAAAACATTTGAAAGCAAGATTATAGTTTCCTTTCTTTTTTCTTAATTAGATCGGTTACTTGACAACTTCACCACAATACAGAGAACTATTAAAGGAAAGAAGATGACTGTATTTGGTTCTACACTTAGCTTAAGCTGGTTTGGTAGCTCATTCAGCGAAACAAATAAGCGTTTAATTTGTGTTATTTAGTGTCATAGTTTTCAGGATTATCAACAGCATTCATGTTACTTATATTATGTGGGAATTATATTTTACTGTCATAGTGTACACCTTGACAATACAATTAGGTATTTGTGGGAATTCTTGGGTGATATGTTCAGTAATTCGTAACCGACGCCCGTACGGAGTCAGTCGACGATCACCATCTAATCGTCTTAGAAGTTACATCTTTGTATTAGCCGTAGTTGATTTTACTGTGACCATTACTTTATTAGTACGATTACTTTACCTCTGCCTACAGAAGACAATTCTAGGTATGTTCCACTTTTCTTTCCTGGACCGGAATTCAATTCACCGTTGATCTTTAAAATAGATTTTAATAAATTCCACAGAAACTTTTTTACAGTGGGAAAAGAAAGCCTTTCAATTTAACAAATAGAGTTTGAGTGCAAAAAGAAGCGAAAAGCGATGGAGAAAAGTTGTAAAATATTTGTCATTTTAGACTCTGTGTTCTTAAAAGATGATATTCTTCTTCACCCGCCTTTTTTTTCACATCGTTAAGTCGTCCAGAAAGTTTTGTCCAGTTTTACTTGTAGCAGTTTAAAATAACGAAACAATTTTACTGCTTGACAAGAACTTCTACATTATGGAGCTGTAAACTAGATTATCAATTACTTTGTCGAAATTTGAACCAGATACTTAAAAATGCTGGAGGTGAGAAGCGTCCCTGTAAGTGAGGGAGAATACCTGCTACTGTATCCTGTACCAGTTTTGAAGAGGTCCAGTTTTTGGAGAGACCGCCCGCAAAATATCAATGCTATGTGTTCTGCTGAATCAGAAGACGTTTTTTTGAATGCTTTATAAAGTTTCAAAATGGCGATTATAACTATAAAGATCATTTGGTAAGCTCGACTCCCCGGTAAAGTGCTGCTGAGATTGCATCGTGAATTGGAACTTCCAGATCAGAGACGAACGATTGCCACTACAATGGCCACTAGGGCTGCGTATTCTAGGTATCAACGGAAAAAACTGGTTACAGCGTAATTGATTCTGCTGCTGTTTTCGTTTTTGTTTTTGTAAAAAATATTTACTTTTTACTAGGCATGTAGATAAGATTGGAGAGTTAGACTTACACAACAATTCTCCTCCAAGATCACAGTCACTACTTTTTAAAAGTACTCCATTAAAAAATACAACGAAAAAAGACTGTAGAATATCATTGCAGCGGCCCACTGTAAAATTCGACAGCGCTGCTGAAGACATTTCTCCACTGCAGCAAAAAAGTGGCCGTATATGGTCCATCACTAGTTTAAGAAAAGAGGACAGTGTGGCACAATAATGAAGGATAATAACCTATGGATTTGACTGAGAGTTCTTCAGCACCAGCCTTATTTCAGTGACAACACCTAATTGGATTACCGTTTATTCAATTCGCTTCAATGCTTTTCAATAAGATAAAGCTTCTCCAAAAAACTTCGAAAATGCCTAAAGCAGCGTTTTCTTTCAAAAAGAAAAACGTTTTATAAAGATTGCATCTAGAAGGCAGTTGGAATATGGCAACATAAAGCAACGGTAATTATGTAGCAGGCTGAAACCATGATGTTATTAGAATATAATTTCTTGAACCTGATGAAGCGAAATGGGCAAAACTTTCAGGGCGGCTTAAATTTCTAACGTAGGTTTTGTTTTTTTTTTATAGACGAAGAGGAATTTCAGAACGGAAAAAAGGATACTGAAAGAAACTGTCTTTTTTGCCAGTCGATCAAAGCACTAATACGATGGAGATCAACACACTGTAGAATCATAAATGTTTTCTAACAAAAAAAGTGCTGATTCATTCCTTATTACCTCCTGCCTACTAAAATTCTGATTTCCAGAAACTGCGACGTGCAAGACAATTTTCTTTATCGAACACCTTACTAAGCTCGTTTCTTTGTCCTGTTTGGCATGTATTAGCGCCGAACGTTTTATCGCGATCAAGAAGCCGTTCGACGGTCAAGTATGAATCTATTCCAAAAAATTCCTTAGTATTACTACAGAAAGGTTTATGCTACCATTAGATAGATATATGACAAATACTTCTGAAGTCTCCTGCCTTTTGCTTCTTCTAAAATGTTTTTTTATAAAATGAATCTTTAACTTTCAGAAACTTTTAAGCTTTTGAATGTTTAAAGTTATACTGAGGACAAATAAAGGCACTGCTGTAAATGTAAAAGCGGCACTTCTGATATACAACTGCATGAGTTTCAGACGGCTTAACAGTCGCAATCAAAAAAAATTTTTAGGTCCGTAAATGTCTATTCAAATCGATACCGTACATTGCAACCGCTGTTCTTCTGATTATTCTTGTAGCTATGACACTACAGGTAACCACAGTCGGTGTCACAAGAGACCACTTGGAGTGCCAATTAACCTCAAGCTCAAGTAAAGAGCGAAGCATTGAAAAAATTTTTGTTGCTTCTATATTTTTTAGCCTTATTGTTTTTGTGAGTGCAAACTACGGCGAAATCATTCATCACGTACGAAGGAAATTTTGGAAACGAAAAGCCAGAGGTATTGAATAAATGCGTATCAGTGGTTACTAGCTTGTTCACCCGTAGATTCTGCACTTGACGTAGACAAAATAGATTTTTCAGAAGGATCCTTCAGAATCATGAGTTCGCTTTGAGGCCGATTTTAGGAAAAATGAAACTGCACAGGCATGAATCTTTGAAAGAACGAAAAAATTTTTTAGTTTCCATGGACTACCAAAGGGAACAGAGGGCGATCGCAGAGCCACGCTACATGAAAGAGATGACTTCAGCTATTCTCCGAGTTGCTTTGTTTCATTTGCTATGTTGGCTGCCATTCTGCGTATTTCTAATACTACCTACAGAGGTAAACATTTGCAAGGGATATTTGGGGGAAATTTCTACACCACCGCATTTTATAAAATACCTCGCTCACTTTTTCAGTAAGAAGCTTCAGATTGAACTAAATAAGTAAAAATTTTAAAGAATAAAATAAAGAAATGTGAGTAAAAATCAGTGGAACGAAGCAGATTACATAAACATGATGATAAAAAAAGTCAGTATGATCCTAAAGATGCACTTGAAACCTTTTTTCCAACAGATTTCGACATTAACAGTTGCATCGTTACGACTCTTCAGAAGGGGCAGGCAAGAAGAAAACAAGACTTTACACTGGATTGCCTTTGCAGTTAACTGGTTGGTGTACGCAAATTCAGCGTGCAACTGGATTTTTTACGCTGTTATGAATCGGGATCTTCGTAACTTGATTCGGTAACTTACTTCAAAAAAAAAAAGAGGCAAAAGAAGGTTATACTGATTACCAAGAACTACAATTAGCAAAAAAACATTGAACTTATGCCAAAACTAAAAAACTTTTCAAAATCTTTATAACAAATCCGTTTCCATCAACCTTTTAGTAAAACAAATACGTATAAAAGTTTTCAGACGAAATACAGAACGTCGAAAGCGTAGTAACCTTTCGCAACCATCTTTGCCCGGTAAATTCGGCAACAGTTTCAAAAAGCACTTCTCAAACGGCTTCAAATTTATACACACAGCGAGTACAATATCGCAGTCCAGTGGGATGGAAGAACATCTTTCAGCTCACCTGACTGTTACACCGATGTTAAGTGGTAAGTTAGTCTCATCAACTTTAAAGTTCCCCACTAAAGCAACATATAGAATTTAATCTCTATTAAACAGAATGGAGTAAAAGATATACGTCTGTGCTTCTTTATCTATGACTAACGCTCTACAGGTTTCACTCCTGGTACCAAACGGAGGTCCAAATCGGAATTGGACTTTGCAAAAGCAGTACACAACCAAAGCTTAAATAGTCCACACCTAATCTGTGCAGTATCACCAAAGGACAATAGGACACTTGGCGAGCTCTTAATCAATACTTAAAAATTACCTTCATTTTTGAACGACAGTAACACAGCTCTACAAGACGCTCACGCTCAAAACATATCACTCCACACCCTTAAAATTTCAAACTGTCAGACACATTGCGCAAAAGAATACTGCTCCGCAGAAAAATACTTTTTTCGTACACGTACCTTCTTTGCAGAAAATACAGTAATGTGAACCAGATACTGTCTAAAGAAACTCATGTCAAGCAAACAGAATGATTAACTATTTTTTTGCGCTTTGCTAACAAATATTAAAGTTTACCAGTGAAAACTCCGTGCAATCCAAAACAGCTAACGAAAAAAAAGCAAATTTTGCAGAACGAATTAAGCGGAAGCAGTAAAACTTCTCCAGGATTTTTTTAAATTTTTTTGCAAAAGTGATTTTTCTTTAAACGTATTTCTATTTTGCCTTTTGCCAAAAAGCTTGCATTGCAAAAACGGCTATCCTTTTACATGACAAATTTCTTTCGCGCAACCTGTCTGCAAAATGTATTTACCAGTCCCGGTCACCTGGACATTTTAGGCGATTACAACTTATTATCTGTAAATAAAGAACAACTCTTCTTGATTAGAGATCTCACTTATTTTAATATTATTACTGAAGTTTTCAATGAAGTTTTTAAAATATATGCAAAAAAACGTGTGCTTTTGTATCAACAATCAGATTATTTAAAAAATTGTACACAAGCAAAAAATTTAGAAAACTTGTATATTATGCATACCACGCGTATTAAAAAATACTGCCTCATTTATAGAGGTTGTAAATTTTTTATACTTCAATATTTCACGAAATTTGATATAAGCACTTCACTAGTATTCTGAATTGGCGACTCAAGCTATTAAATAAAATTATAAACTTTTAAAGGTGACTATGCTTTAAAAAAAAAT